AGTGTTAGGGTTAGGGTTAGGGCTAACATTAGGTTTAGAGTTAGGGTTAGGTTTAGCGTTAGGTTTGTATTTTGGGTTAGGAATAGGGGTTAGGGTTAGGGTTAGGGTTGGGTTTAGGGTTAGGCTTAGGATCAGGTTTAGGGTTAGGGGTTGGTTTAGGGTTTTTGTTAGGTTAATGGTTAGAGTTAGGGTTAGGATTAGTGTTGCTTTAAGTTTAGGTTTTGGGTTTGGCATGGGGATAGGCTTACAGTGAGGTTTAGCTTTAGGTTTGGTTTTCGGGTTAGGGTTAGGTTCAGGAATAAGATTAGGTTTAGTTTTAGGGTTAGGGTTAGGGTTAGGTTGGGATTCAGTTTAGAGTTTGGGTTAAGTTTAGATTTAGTTTTAGGTTTAGGGTTAGTATTATAATTTGTGTTAGGGTTAGGTTTAGGGTTGGGGTTATGTATAGTGTTTGCGAGAGGATTAGTGTTATGATTATGGTTGAGTTTAATTTTAGATTTAGCATTAGGGTTAGGTTAGGATTAAGTTTGGGATTGGTGTTGGGGATTAGGGTAAGGGTTAGGTTTAGGGTTAGGGTTACAGTTAGGGTTAGGGTTAGGTGTAAGGTTTAGGTTTTGGGTTAGGTTCAGGGTTAGGTTTAGGTTTAGGGTTATGGTTAGGGTTACATAGGCATTAGGTTCGGGTTATGATTAGGTTTAACTTTAGGTTTAATTTTTAAAACAGCTTAAATATTTAAGAATTTTTAAATTTAAGTATTTAATTATAATTTAGAACATTTATATATCTATATACATATATACATATTACAATACATTCATGTTTCCCAAAATAAGTAAATATTATTTTTATTACAGGGCTAAATTGTGTACTAAGTTTGCTTGTTGCAATCAGAGGAAAGAAGAGAGCAAATACACACTCCCTAGTTGAACCATATTTTACCAGTATATATCTGTAGGCTTTCCCTGTGTAGCCTATGAAATCTAATCTTATTATACAAAATGACAAATGAGAAACCTGAAAAGTTAAGTATAGAAGGTATTTTCTGTATGATGGGAGTGGAGATGGTGATGGGAGGAGAAAGGAAAGAAAAAGGCAGGGGAAAAATGCTTCAGGAAGGAAAGATTTTTATAGTGTGTAGACAGTGAAGCAAATGTCAAAAAGTGTACTATCAGTCCAAGATTAATAATTGTAGCTTAAAAAAACCCAGGCAATATCTATCTTTTTTTTCTTCTTTTCCTATTACTCCTGGCTAGAAAGAGATCTGATTATTTTTTTTAATCTGCCAAGAAAAAAATAAATAATTGTGTTCATATCTCAAAGAAAAAAGGAAAACAAATACTTATATTGCCCTTCCAAATGAGAGGCTAGGCAAGACTGGAAAGCAGAAATACAGCAATCATGCTAGTACAACGTTTACTGTGTTAAAAAAAAAATAAATTACAGCAACATTTGGGAAAAGTGTAGCAAGCTTGTTTCAATGCGTTGTAGTTAGTAGTTTTTATTAATATCTATACAAGGATTCAATTCTCAAGTTTCACACAAGATATTACAATTACATTGCAAAACCACCAGGATAAATGGTTTTGACTTAAGTATGCAAGGTTCAGCTTGTCTTGAAAGCAAACTGTAATAAATTTTGTTTCTTCATAAGAAAAACCCCAAATAAACAAAATAAACCCAAATGACACAGATCTACATAAAGGGATAGCTCATTTAACAAAAGTGTTGAATGCAGTTTGCATAATCAAGTAATTGTTCCACCAGTATATGGATGTACGCTTCATTTTGCAAACGGATCTCAGTTTATTTGACTTACTTGATATGGGCATATTTGTGGAGTTGTTAACATGTACGTTGATTATAAACAGTGAGAGCATTTAACATTTTAAATATTTCAGAAAGATAATATGGGAACAGTGTTGGCTAATGATGTCTATTCATTCTTGTGCAGATTTTATTCCTTGACTAGATGCAACATGAAGATCTAGGAGGAAGTTAGAGGGTCTCTGGAGAGCTTGAAATTATTAACTGCAAAGTAGAAAGTAATTTGAGAAATGTTTGCCTTCTTTTCTGGGTCAAAATCAGAAAGATCTGCTTCCTTTTTAGACATGCCAAGCTGTTGTGAATTCACCTGCTTAGTTGCATTTCACATCTTACTTACTTTGTCAAAGGCCAAAGCATTTGAGAAATAAGCATGTGCCTTCCTGTGATTTATTAAAAAAATATGGATATTGATCTAGTACTGATATCCAACTGTGACGGACAAAAACTCTCTAACAGTTTAAAGTTAGAAAGTGTATGTTTATTCGACGCCGGGCAGCGTGCAGGATAGCTCCCAAATACACACCGCGCCTTCCAGGTGATTACAGAGTCTTTTTATCCATTCAAGTATTGAATACCCAAAATACAAATACATATTCATCATTTTGGTACATCCCATTCCCTGCTTTGTATGCTAATCACTCCAAAAGCTATTAAGCATGCGTAGTTTGTCCCTTGAAATGGGTCGGTGGTCTCTTTCATGGGGAGGGGTCCAAAAGTGAGGAAGTAAATGAAATCTTCCTCGTTCTGACCTTTCTACCTTTTCAATGCAAGTATGACAAATGAACTCTTGGTAGAACTCCCATTCCTTGTCTTCAATTGCTTTCAGAACAGAGGAGGCTCACAATTGTCTTATGTTCCTAAAAGCTATTTGTCAGTTTCTATATTCTTCATTATAAACCCAGCTAACTAAACATTGTGCTGACAAGCAATTAATTATTAGTTAACTACTAACTCCTAACTTCATCAAGGCCTACTTATTTATTATTATTATTTTAATTATCTCTACTAAGGCTTATTTCTAACTAAAATCATGGCTCCTCTAAAATCTCTAAATTCCTTAAAGTTTATGTTTCATTCCGCACTACTTCTTTGGAATGAGTAAATTCTTTTATTCAGTATATAGACTTTTCTTCATCTGCCCAAGACATGTGTCTAGTTTCTTTCAAAACTAAACCATATGCTTTTGATAGTGAAGTTAGGGCCGTCATTCGTTGTATAATTTTCCAATTCCAAACAAGTATTACAACAGACAAAATCAAGCTTAGACTAACTAAAATAAGCAACACAATAATAGGATGAATTAAAGTATTAAGTATGCCGGTTGCTGTTGGTGACTATCCAAAAAGCACATCTCACCAATGATGAGACAAATGTTCCTCAAATCGCTTAAAAACTCCTTTGATGGTTTCTGTGTCATGGTGTATAGTAATTAAAGTCTTTTTCCCTGTGTCTCTAATCTCCTTTAAAATTTCTTTCAGTTCCTGATGATTTAACAATTGAGCAACTAAAGTCAAATTCATTCCTATGGGCACAGGCACTATTTCTTGTACAGTAATTAAATTGGCTTTTATATATTGGTGTAATACTACAGGTGCCTGATATAAGAACTCACATTCCTCAATTTTGACAAAGTTACAGACACATAGATTGAACTGAGTCTCATTCATGCTTAGATTGTCTATCATTATGGTGGGGCATGCTGTTCTGAGACAGACACAACCTTGTCCTATATATATAAGCAAAGTTGTTTAATTGCCTGAATGCGTTTCAAACTGGCAAATGCTTTGGTCCGTATCTAAACATGTACCTTTATTACTTTCTAATGTCCCCTCACATACGTATCCTAGTTGTCTCCTCATAGAACAGGGCTCTAGGTTGATGGTTTGCCATTTTCCTCTAATTTCTCGTGCCCATGTTCTATGTTCAGAAGGATGTAACACTGTCCCCTCATTGTTTAATCCTAGGGACATTATAGGATGAATTAAGGTCACTGATGCATTATGTATTGTTAAGACAAAGGCTGTTGCTTTACTTGTCATAGGGTTATAAGTGAAATTAATCGAAGTCCACCAAGCTTGCAGTTCCCTTTCTATATTAGATGCACTATCCCAAACAATTTTACGGAGTTCAGCAGGGAATATTTCCTCCCCGCCTTCCCTGATCACTGCAGCAGCGATTGACTGCATCCATAGTTGTGCTTGAGTACACCCAAGAGCTAGTGAAACATTTTCGCTAGCTGTGCCTAATGCATTAATTATTAATTCATGGTCTTGCTCTTCGGTGTTCTCCCATTCTGGAAATACTTTGGATAACTTCCAATGGTTGTCACCCAGTGCTATTAGGGAAGATTGTAAAGGTTGCTGTAATTTAACCAAGTCGTTCCCTACTGTTGTTAATTTATTCATCAATACTTCTGAATCTGTGGTATTTAGCACTCCTAGTCCAGTCCCTAACAGATCCCTTTTACTCTTAAAGTTGGAGGGCATTTGTTTTTGAAGCCAAGTGGCCCAGTCCATGAAAGGATTTCTGAGAAATGGGGCGCATTCTGGCCGGACATCTGAAGCATTTACCTGTATTCCCATTTCTACTTGCTTCAGAGACCATTCTGGATTGACCAGCAGTCTTTGGATTCCAATTTTCTCTAGTAGCGTACGGCCCAATTTTTGTAATCGTAGGAACTTTAGGCTGCTCTTCTACTTCTGGGATAAGTGGCTGTGGGGTAGTAACAGCTTTCTTTTGTGTCAGAGGGGTAGTTCTAGTCCTGTTCTTATGATATTCAACACATACTTGAGTGATATTAAAATCAAGATCATACCCTCTTATTGCACATCCCTCTAATTTTAGTCTAAATTCGGGACATTTACTCAAACATTTGTCACAGCATTCAGGGATAATCCGAAGGAGTTTCATGAATGGTTGGTAAGCCTCATGGAACCCATCTTGCACAAATGCATAGTTACATCCTTAAACATTTCTCCCTTCCCACAAACGTGCATTTGTAACCTTTATAATCTCATTTAGGGCCCTACGAGAGTGGGGATCATAGGCCCTTCCTTGACACCAGTATATTCCAGTTACGTTGTACTTGTGTGGTATTGTATTGGCTCCTCTTACAACTATGGCAATAGTTATAATAGTTACGACCTTCTCCATCATGTCTATAATTTCTATAGGTCCATTTATTCACTGTTGCAGGTGAGCTTCAACCTCAGCTCATTGTCACTTGGTGTCACTTTCCAGACTCCCTCAGGGACTTTCTTCACTCGGGTGTGATGGATCCAGGCCTTCTGTTCTTTGATCTTGATTGCAGTAAAGGTAGTGAGGAGCACCTGGTAGGGTCCTTCCCACTGTGGTTCCAGGCTTTTTTCTGCAAAAGACTTAACATATACATAATCCCCAGGTTGTGCATCATGTACTGGCCCATCTAATGCTCTGGTTTGAGCTCCAGCCACATATTTTTCAATTTCCCTTAATTGTTTGTTCAGGGCTACCATATATCTATGTAGGGTTTCTTCCCCTACTTGTGTTGGTGTGATTCCTTCTTGAACTGCATATGGTCTCCCATATAATATTTCAAAGGGGCTCAACTTTTCTTTTGTTCATGGTTTTGTCTGAATTAACAATAATGCTAATGGGAGAGCTTGGGGCCAAGGTAGGTTTGCCTCTTGTCCCAACCTTACAATTTGTTGTTTAATCAAATGACTCATCTTTTCCACTTGGCCACTCGATTGAGTATGATATGGGGTATGTAGCTCCCAATCTATCTGTAGGTGATGGCTAGTTTGTTGCACAATTTTGGAGATAAAATGCGGTCCTCTATCTGAGGATATGGTGGCTGGAACTCCAAACCTCGTTATTATTTCTTGCAACAATGCTTTGGTTACCTTTCGTTTAATAAGGCTTATTTCCAGCTAAAATCTTGGCTCCTCTAAAATCTCTAAATTCCTTAAAGTTTACATTTCACCTGAGGTCTTAGAAACAAACCCCTCTGTTAGGCCCAACCTTAATTTCAGTCTAATATGCCTCATCCTATTTCATGGGATAGAAATATTTATGTTTAAGAAAAACATTGACATCTTTCATTTCAAAATTATTTTTCCAGGTGTGTGTCGTTTTGACTGCGTAATGGGCTTGTGTGTAATAAATACACACAAACACATATATTATATATATATGTGTGTGTGTGTGTGTGTGTGTGTGTGTGTGTGTGTGTATAATTCATTCTGAAAATATGAGGGTATGAACTGTTTGCATTATACATTTAGTGGGCAGGCATCCAAAACCAGCTCATTACTTCTTAAATCAGTAACAGGTCTTATCTAGAAGGGGCGATAATTCAATGATCTCATGTTTGCTGCAAAAAAGCTCGTGGTTCCTAAGCTGTCTTTCTCAATATATATGTGGACAGAGATACTGTGTACTAGGTAACATTTATTGGAATAAGATTTTCTGTATGCTGACCAGAATTATTTGCTATATTATGGTCCCACATTTACTGCATTCACAGTGTCTCTGAGTCATCTGAGCTGTAGTATTATCAGGAGATGTGATTTTGTTCAGCACAGTAAGCCTGGCTAACTGCAGTGAAGCATCTCACCATTGTTTTTATAAACTGGTTCAACCTCAACAGCAGGGGGAGATAAATCTCAATTTTGGACTCCCCTCCCCTGCCTCAGAGGAGACTCTGTGCTAGGCTGTGCAGGCTTGAGAGGATTTGTGTCTGCAGACCCGTGATGCCCACTCCTGTGACATCTGCAACTTTCTCATTGCCAAGCCATTCACAAGGAAAGAGATTTGGCTTTTAGTGTGAAATCAGGTGTTTGCTTTCCAAACACCTGCTCCAATTTTTTTTCCCAGAAAACCAGCAGCCAGGTGGATGGTTATACCTTGTGGATGGACTAGAACCTTCAAGTCACCTGATGGGTGTCACTGAAAATACCTGCCTCTGATGCTCAGCAAAATATTCTGGATTTCTCAGAAGTTAAGAAAAAGTGTTATTCCTCCCAGTCTTCCTTTATTATCATGGATTGTATGAACAAAAATTTAATAGCCTACAAAATTATGGACATATAGGAAGAAAATGGCTACAGATATTAGAAAAAAATTTTGATTCCAGCTTGTGAGTACTGTGGTCAGAATGATGATTTCAGGGAGGTGCACATACAACTAAAAATCTTAAGGAATTGTTATATCTGAAACGTGAACTGTAAAAACTGCTCACAACTATGGGCAGACAAGCAACCCCAAAATTATTACCATTCAATCACATTTCAATCAATTTAAATTCAGCTCAATCTATTTTTGTATAAATATTACAAAATCCACTCAACTACTATGACCTGTCTACTTGGTCAGCTTCCCTGAAAATTGCCCTCTCTGCCCTCCCATAGTGCTGTTTGTGATCAGAGGAATTATTTTCACATAAAAAATAATTTTAAAGCAGATTTTTAATATTGGATTTGATTACAATTCCTACTTTCCTAGCTTGATCTCACAGATGCTTCATCAGCTGTTGTGTCTGTCCTTCATTTCTCTGCCAAGGCAGAGAAAATCACAACCACAGGAATCCTTTGCACAGCCACACTTGGCAGTTCACCATAGTTTGCTTCAATTCCCCAACAGAAGCAACACCTGGCATAACTAAAATGAACCAATCTGGGACTACTTTCATTTTCCCGCTTGAGCTACACTGAACTCATCTCTCCTGCTTTGAATTTTCAAGTTGCAGTGTGGGATGCATTCCCTCTGGGACAGGTGAGATGTACGCAAGGCAGAAGGCAACAGTGATAACTCCCCTGTACAAACACAGGCAGCTCTCTCTGTACACGTCAGTGAGCAGCCAAGCTGACACCTTACCCATGACAAGGGTGTGTCTTTCTACCCATTGCTTGGAGTATAGTGCTTGCAATAGGAGCTTAAGGACAGTTAGTCTTTGCTGGTCTAAACAGGTTTCATACACACCCTTTCTTACTCTAAAAGGACAAGCACTTTAAATTCTCCCACTGAAACATCAAGGTTATTTGGACAGAGAAAATGTCTTTTCAGCAGCTGTTGCATGACACGCTGTTTTGAGATATTTTGTAGCCCCAGCTTAGAAGATGGGAAAAGGAGCAAAATGGATCTCACTCCAACATATATAGCTTTTCTTAAAAGGTTTATTTATTCACTCCAATGTTTCCTTTTTAAGAAATATAAATAGCATGCCACAGGACCAACAAACATTCATAATGTTTAAGTCCAAATGATTCATAATGAGCATAGTATTTCCACAAATAAAATTTTAACAATACTCAAAATAAATCTACAGAAAAAAATAGCTTAATCCCACATATACGCTTCAAATGCTGGCACTAGGGCCAGAAAACATTCAGGTCAACACATTGCACAACAATGTCCTATTTATTGTTTTATAACATTTGCAGAGGATCTATGCTATTAAGTGCATTTTTGGCCTGTATTTAGTGCTGCTGACTACTAACAGTGTGAGGAGTCACATTCAACTCTTCTCTTGCTTAATTGCATAATGTGTATTGCTCAGGATGCAATGCACGTGGGCAACCTCCACAGCACACCATTAGCATACCTAAAAATACATCAACTGTCAGAAAGATATAGCCTTGTCCTCTTTCTCTACTGGTTGTTTATGACATTATCTAGAAATCTAAACTTGGAAACTTGCATTTTACATTTATATTTTTTCCAAATCTGATGTATTATTGCAGGAATATTTTCTACTGTAGCATGCCAAGGAGTGCTTTTCTTGTTGTTCTGTATTTCTTTAACCTGTATTTGTTCCTGGCTCTGTCTGGAGCAGAGCTTGTTTTCAGAAATTCCTCAGGAGACTGTTGCAGAAGCCTTTTCTTGCTCATACAACAAGGCTGCTGGTGTCTATACTACACTTCACTGTCATTGACATGCCAGCAGACACCTTCAGCCCATTTTCATATTTCTTTGACATCCAGGAGTAAAATTCTTCAAAATAAAGTCCACTTTTTTTCCCCCCTCACTACAGCAAATTGATTATTTCTTTAATAGCAGTGGTAGGTTTTTTCCTTAAAAATTTTATTCTCAGCAATACCACCAAAAATGAAGATGGTAAATATAGCTGCCTAACAATGAAGTTACAAATGTTGATTGCTGTTTTTCTTTTTGTTGTTGTTTCTTTTTTTTTTTTTTCCCACTAAATGCATTTGCAGTAAACACAAGCTGTGATACTTTTAGCTTGCTTGTAATAATCCATTCATTATTTGTTTATTTGTTTGGATGAGTCAACCTATTTCTAGGACTTTCCTCACATACTCCTAGCATTCATGCCCTGGGAAGTCTGTACTTAAAAAACCTTTTCATATAATTTCATGAATACACTTTTCTGCAGAGATCCTATCTTAAGCATTTTTAATATATAAATAGAAAAACAAATTTTCTATACACCGTTGAATTTTTCCCTATACCACATTTACCTCCTTTTGAAGCTAGATCTGGGGATGGATAGTGCCTTTGAATTTCTAAATCCAATGTTCTGTAAATTAACCTGTCATTTATGATCCCTTTGAATACATCTGGAAAAATGGTCTTCCATCTCTCCATGGAATCCCAAAGGACGTAAACCACATTTATATCTCTAAAAACAAACTGGAAACATAAGTCAGACTCCTTTGAAATCCCAAGTCTTATAAGTTTTCCAGAATAGAATACTGACTGAAAAAAAACAAAACAAAACAAAACAAACCCAAAAAACCAAAAAAGACCCCTCAAAAAACCCCAAACAAACCAGAAAAAAGAGCTACCTGTGAAGTTATGGTCATATATAAATTCTGATTTAAAAAAGCTTCATTTGGTACTTATAAAATAATGCTACACAGGCATTAATTCTTTTCATCTTCTAAACTGGTATGTTGGCAGAGAAATAAAAAGACAAAACAACCCCTGGCGAGGAATATTTTCTTTCTGGAGAAAGCATTTTTTCTTTCTGGAAGAAATGGAAATGCAAGCTACTATTAAGAGTTAAAATAGCCCTTTATTTTGCCCAGAGGCTGCTCCTATTCTTCTTGTATTGCTTTAGTTCCCAGAGTAGGTAAATTGCTTTAATATAGGTTGAAAATCTCTGAGCATGCCAAGCTGCAGATGATCCCCTGTGTCCCAGACAAGTGCTGCACAAACTTACACCATGATATCTTAGTGTCTGTGCCCAAGCCTATGGCAATTGTGTGAAATTGGATAAAGAAAAGTCAGAAAACCAACCTGAACCTGAGCAGTCATTCAATTATCCGCTCACACAGCACACAGATCTTTTCACAGTATATTTTTCATGCTGAGTCTTGAAAAATGCAATAGTTTTTTTAAAGCACGTGTTCATTATCATTGCAATGGACTGATACAACAAAGGTGTGTAGGAGGGAATGCTTCTAGCAAACAAGGTACCCTTCACCTAATAAGAAGCCACAGTCACGCAAAAAAGATGTTTAAAGTGCTAAAATTGTGTGAAAGTTCAAAA